AGAACTGATATGAAGAGCATATTCGTGTTTCAGCCTTTCTGACCAGAGACATAAGTGAACTTACTGTCTGCTTATGGCCCCTGTAGACCTGGGTTTTGTGTGTGTATTTGTTTCATCATGATTACCACAGCCATTTGAGTTAATTTTTCTCAAGATATCAAAACTGTGTAACCAAGAACTGCATTCTTGTGAGCATGCTCCATGTTCCCTGTTTTACATAGACCTTGGTTAAAAATCAAAATATATAATAAGCTGCACCACTTAAGTGTGTTGGTCACCTGTTGCTCCACATGACATGTTATGTGTATGATGTGAGAAGCTCCATTTAAACGCAGTTACCCTAGCTTGCCACTATATTAAAGTGTTACATGTCAGTTGTGCATTGTTGTAACAGCAGCCTTATAATGACAGTTAGATTGTATATTGTAGAACAGTTAAAGAGCAGTGTGTGGGTGTAGCTGTAACATCAGTGTAAACATGCAGCAGACATGCAATGGTGGTCATTTGTCCATTTCCTGCCTCTCTGCTTCAAGCTGAACATTGACATGGATGACCTAAGCCTTCTGGGGATAAGCTCTACATTACAAAATGCTTATTTGTGTGTGTCTGTGTGCGCGCGCCTGGTATTACTCTCACTGTGGGGACTGAAACCTGTTTATACATGCAGTACATACTGTATCATGGGGACTAAGCCTTCTTTGTGGGAACAGGATTCCCATCATATAAATCATTGAATATTAGGGTGACAATTTGGTATAAGGTCAGGGCAAGGTTAGGGTTAAGTTAAGGTTTGTCTTAGGATTAGGCAAGTAGTGGTTATGGTTAAGATTAAGGTAAATCTCCTGAAAATGAATGCAATCAGAGTTCCCACGAGGAATAAAAACAAATGTATGTGCATGTGTGTGTGGCCTGGTATTACTTGTTGTGGGGGCATAAATCTGTTTACACAATCACACTGTGGGTGCTCAATGTCCTTATGGAGAAAGAAGCAAGTTCCCAAAATGTAAGTCATTACATTTTAGAGTGATGATTTGGCTTAAGGTTAGGATGAAGTTAGGGTTGGGCAGTTGTGCTGTTTTACAGTAGACATGTAACAAGGCAGTCAGTTCGGTGAGACATGTTATTTTAGTGCCCACCAGTTGAATGCTGCTAACTTTGTGAATTTCTCTCCAAACTGTGACACTATGTGATGGTTTGGCATTCATGAAGGGTAAGGAGGAGGGAGCGCGAGGAGGGAGAGGGAGAGCTGGGCAGAGCGGAGGCAACTGATTTTCGAGTCTCATGCTAGCGCTACCTCAATTTTGAATTAATCCTTGTCGACCATCATGATACCTCACGTTCTTGAGAGTTATTCCATGCCATGTGACAATGAGACATGAGAGTAGCTTGGAGGAAAATAAAAATATCTGTCAGTGGCAGATAATTTTTCTATGTGTTTGGAGAGAATACTTCCTTCTTAGAGGGGTCCGGGCTTTTAGGTGTGGTGGTAGTTGTGTTCAATGAGGGTGGAGAGAGTTCAGCCAGTTTATAAATGTTTGTTTCTTCAGGTCACAAACAGAAGCTTTTTGGGTGTCTTTGTCATTGCTGTGCTTCCTCACACTCTCAAAATGATGATAGAAAAAGAAAGAGCTTAGGCTCAGTTTCTTATGGCAGTGCGCATGCATGCAGCAGCCTGTGACCCTTGGCTGCAAACAAAATTTCGTTGTATGTGTCACAATAAAATAAAGCTTCTTCTTATTGACATTGGTGTTTTAAGTTGAATGCAATATGTGCATAATAGTCATAACCCCTCTAAGAGGCTGCACAGTAAATTTCACAACACTATTGATATATAAATGGAAAATAAAAATTATTTCTGCAACATTTTTGGGAAAGCTTTTACCTTATTTACCACTGGTAAACATGTGGAACCTCATTTTAATAGTTCATATGATCAAAAGATTGGTTGGATGTTTTCTTGAGGTCCACGGGGGACCTGCAGTTTCAGAGTTAAACAACAGCCTCATAAAATTCACAGCTCTGACCAGACTGCTTGAGCTAATGGCTAATTCTGCACACTGAACTAACAAGCAGAATCAGAATCAGTTTTATTGGCCAGGTGTGTTGCAGGTGTGTGTCTAGGGTGTGAGGGGTCTGCAGTGATCCTCTGCGCCCTCCTTTTGACCCATGAGGTGTACAGGTCCTCCATGTAGGACAGGCTCACACCATTGACCTTTTCTGCAGTCCTGATTGTCCACTGAAGTCTGTACTTGTCCTGTTTGGTTGCTGAGCCAAACCAGACAGTCATGGAGGTGCAGAGAACAGACTCAATGATTCCTCTGTAGAACTGTATCAGCAGCTCCTAGGGCAGGTTGAACTTCCTGAGCTGGCGCAGGAAGTACATCCCCTGCTGTTCCTTCTTGATGATGGTCCTGGTGTTGGACGTCCACTTCAGGTCCTGTGAGATAGTGGAGCCCAGGAAGCAAGTTTATTACTTTTGTGATTTGTGCAGTTTTAGCCACAAAAACAATTTTTCATGTTTATCTCCCCATAAGCTCATTCATTGTACCACTGCCATTTGTTGGCAACTTGCTCATGTCATTGCAATGACCCCTTGACCCTCCTATTTCTGGCACGCTTGCTGTTTACCAGTGGTGGAAGTAAGTACTCAAATCTTTTTTCATAATTAAAGGTAGTAATACCACAGTGTACATGTTAGAAGTCCTGCGTTCAAAATGTAATGTAAAGGTACAAAATTATTAGCATCCAAACATACTTGAAATACCAAAAGTAAAAGTACTCTGTGGATTTAGTTTATGCTAAATAGTTTACCTCAGACTTGTTCTTCTACAAAGCTTTTATTTATCTATCTATCTCACAAAATTTTTATTACATGATGGATATAAAGGTGGAGCTAATGTTAATGGCATTTTCTATAAATTGAAGTACTTTACATACTGCATGGTAGCTTGAGAATTTCCCACTGGGGATCAATAAAATCGGTTTCAGGTTTGCCATGAAAAAAGCGAGCCTCCGCTTTGTGACCATGTCTGTTGTAGTTCTAGCTTTTACGTAAATACAGTATGAAACCTGCAGAAAATTACAGTAATTATCTCAAAACCTTAAGTGCCACTTAGAAGTGAAGAACAGAGATTTGGCCACAACATAAGTGAGTGAGGATATCAAATGAGAAATGCCATTATTCACGGTGTGATTTCAGCTGCCAGACAGGGACTAAATGAGGGTTTGGTGTTTGCACTGATATCCACACACTGAGATAATTACTGCTCTCAGTCTGGATGATGATACACACTGTCTCACTGCAGACAGAAAAATAAAGACAGGTGAAAAGAAGGCTGTCTACCCTGCACACAGAACTATAGTCACATAAACTGATGTAAGTGTGTGTGCTCTAAAAGTGCACATTCTTCTGGTTGCCTGGTCACATTCAGAACCACTTTATGCCTTGCTTATGAAAACAGCAAATGCCATCATGAGTTGCTCCAACCCCCTTTACACACACGCACATACACACAACCAAATGATCAAATGCCGCCCAATGCTTCAGTGTATTCCATTTTCCCTGAGTACAAATAACAGTGTAGACAGGCTTCATTAACAAGGAACAGAGAGCAGGGGAAACCACATTGAGGACAGATGTTTCCAACCACTGTTGGTTTACAATTTGGATTTTAAAGGCTATGGGGGAGCCTATTGTCTGATAAATCCACTGAGGAAAGCCATACAATTCTATGTCCATCAACTGTTGTTTTAATAAAACTCTTTGCTAAATAAATCAGCATCTGTGGGGTCCATGGGTTTGTAAACAAGTCAGATGTGCAAGTTTCTTTTATTTATATAGTTGTTTTTAGCATATTTCCAATAGTTGTCCAACAACTAAAGCCGGCCGCATCACAACAGTCTTCTCATACATTCTTGGTGCTTTTAGGTGTATGTTTTAGGTTATTATCCTGTTTGATGAGCTATGACCTGTGAGTGAAACAGAGTTCTCAAACACCAGGAAGGATATTTCCTTGATAATCCTATAATTTTATTGTGCCCTGCACATGTTCAAGGCACACTGTGCCAGGTGCAGGAAGGCAACTCCGGTACACAGTGACCCCAAGCAGTACAATGAGGACTGTTCTTCCTATAAATAGGCACAACATTGAAGATATGATTCTAATTGGAGACTACTGTCCGTTTGAAATATCACTACAATTAACTATTTATCCCCACTTCTAATGGGTACCAAAAATTTGTTCAGACCATTTTAGAAGATCTTTGTAGAAAAATCAACAAATCCAGCTTTTTTCACAGCTTGTTTGTTTTATTCTGACAAACCGGCCTTTGCAATTTACTAGCTCATTTGTGAGTTCTTCATGCCAGTTCATTTTTTGTTTTGTTTGGACCCGCGTTCTTGACAAAGTGCCTGTTACCAGTTTCTGTATCAATTCTTGAGTCTACCTACCTTTTTAAGCTTTTGTTCATATCTCTTCAAGTAAATTCCTTTTCAGTTAAGGCCGTGTGTGTGGAGCACAGACAGGGAGGACCCATACACTGACACACAGACAGGCAGGTTGACAGACTTATAGGTGGATTTACTGTAGCTGCAGTAATGGAGATGCTTTATATGTTGTGTCAATATGAAGAAGGACCTGATCCTTTACCAGTGGATTTCAATTCTAACTTCATCTGTGGCTTTGAGGTTTGGAGTGACTGGAGGAATAATATCATGTATTCAAGCAGCCAAAATGAGTTTCCTTGGCAGGGCATTTGCCTTACTTTTGGAAAAAAAGTACAGCATCAAGAACCTTTATTTATATTGTAACATATACAACAAAACTATATCTGGAGCAGAGGGCCCTGGGGTGCATACACACCACCATCATGGGGGGTTCAGAGTCTTGCCCAAGGACACTTTGACATGTGCATTGGAGGCACTGAGATTTGAACCTTCAACCTTCTGGTTGGGAAATAACTGCTCTACCCACCACACCACTGTCACCTCCCAAACACTGACCCTGACGTGATCAAAGTGTCATTTAAAAAAATTGAATCTATTAATATAATATACTCAAGGATTCAAGATTCAGAGTAAATGTTATCAATGAATAAAGTAACAAGGACAAAGAGCTTGTTATGAAAGCCCACACACAGTGCATGAGCAGTCTGTATCCCACTGGAACAACAGTGGCCTGTTTTGTTAGATTTCCAGGGACATCAGAGGAGTTGGGCCCTGCTGGCTTTGTTCCAGATAGTAATACAGAGCTGCTCCTCTGACCTCCTGTGTAACATTGCTGTAGACATCCTGAAGATGAACAATGGCAGAGAACAAAGCTAGTCAGTGGTTCCCAAGCTCCCCTCCATCCCCACACTCAGCACTAACCATAATACCAGGATGGAATGACAGTGCTTACTGTACTCTGTTAGAGAGCAGTGCCTTCTAACACGTTTTTGCTTCAAACACATCTGCTTAGACACATTAATCACATCTGTTTTGGTCACACTACAAAAATGCTAGAGGTTATGGTAACACTTTACAGGCAATGTCCACTGCAAGTGTTCCTGGCCAGTGAAAATCTGCTACATTCTATCCAGTGTGTGTTTTGTCCATTACCCTGAGTTGGTCTGCTGTGTCCAATAGGCAGCGCTGCTATGGTGTGCTGCTCCTTCTCAGCCCCAGACTGCAGGATAATTAGCCAGATTTTGTGCCTGATTTGCCCTTCCTGTCAATTGTGGCAGCATTCTCTGACATGAGGCCTCTCGGAAGCAATTCTCAGGCCAAATGTTCCTGTAGTGTGAGCTGTTAAACAACCTAATTGTTATGCCTCGAACAGGATTGGAAGGCCCCCGGATTTGAATTCTAATTATCAAGCATGTTTGATATTTACCACTTGGAATCCTGTAGTGTTGGGGGAAGAGCAATTGAATCCTGACCAGACACCTGTAACAGCCAATGAGAGCAAGCTGGCTGGGAAACATCACCACCACTAATAGAATCAGAAGCTGCTTTATTGGCCAGGTGTGTTGCACACACAAGGAATTTGACTCTGGTACATTGGCTCTCAATGTGTATGTACATATCCCCATGCAAGGGGCAAGTAAACAGTGAACCAGCATAAGGCTGTGTAATATAACAAAATAAGCAGTATTGACAAGCAACAAACAGAGCAAACAATGCAAAATAAGCAGTATAAACAGGCAGTAAACAATGCAGACAGGCAAAGGAATGCTCATTGAAATGAGATAAATATTAATTAAAACAGAATACCTAAAATTAGTAGGTATTCTGTTTCGTATAGCCAGTGATGCTTTTCAGGCTCCTCCACACAGACAAGGGGTTGTTGGCTGAAACCTGAGCTTTCAGCTTTTTAGAGTAGCTCCTCTTTGCTGCTCTGATCTCCCTTGTCAGTGTGTTCCTGGCTGTAAACCAGGGCTTGTTGTTGTTGTTGGCGCAGAAGGTCTTTTTGGGCACACACATCCTCACAAAAGCTGATATAAGATGTGACAGTGTCAGTGAGTTCGTCCAGGTCTGTAGCTACAGTCTCAAATACACTCCAGTCTGTGTAGTCAAAGCAGGCCTGTAGCCTGACTTAGCCTCCTCAGTCCAGCTCTTCACTGTTTTGACCACAGGCTTTGCAGCTTTAAGTTTCTGCCTGTAGGTTGGAATAAGATGGACCATACAGTGATCAGAGAGTCCAAGGGCTGCGCGGGGGACAGAGTGATAAGCGTCTTTTATTGTTGTGTAGCAGTGGTCCAGTGTGACTTTGTCCCTGGTGGGACAGGTGATGTGCTGTCTATATTTGGGCAGTTCGTGGGAGAGGTTTGCTCTGTTCAAGTCCCCTAGAACAATGAGTATGCTAGAGTCGGGATGTTCTAGCTCCAGGCTAGTTACAGTATCTGTTCTGCCAGGAGCTGTAGTGCACTAGCGTTGGCCTGTGATTTTATGTACACTCCCCTTAGCATGAAAGAGTTAAATTCATGAGGAGAATAGAAAGGTAATTGCAATTGATAACAAGAGTCTCTAGGTCTGCGTTACATGTCCTCAGTAGCACTGTGACATCTGTGCACCAACCTTCATTTATGTAGAAACAGATTCCACCTCCTCTTGCTTTTCCAGACAGCGATCTGCTCTGAACACCTGGAAGCCCGGTACTTGAATCGTTCTGTCAGGTTGCTCAGCCAGGTCTCCGCTAAGTACAAAGCAGCAGAGTGTGCAAAAGTCAGAGTTAGTACTGTTGACGAGAAGAATTTCATCCATCTTGTTGACCAGAGAGGAGAGATTTGCCAGTTGAATAGAAGGGAGTGGGGTCCCCTCTGTCGTAACCTCACCAAGGCGGTGTTTTTTCCAGGTCCTGTATATTGCCAATGCACCACCAATCAGAATGTCTATACAGCATTCTTCATTCACAGAAATTGGAGGAAGGTAGTTCGGTTTGATTTATCTGATATTTAGCAGTTCTTCTCTGGTAAAAGTAATCTGGGATGAGTTGCAAAAGACCAAGAGAATAAAGAAAACAACAAACACAAGAGAGCACGAGTGACCATGGCCGCCATCGTTGTCGGTGCCAGAATATAGCATTGTCTTGCACTAATCTCCTAATTTCTTTATTTGCAATTCACCTCCAGCTCACGCTGCAAAATGTGTAAGCCGTGTTTATTTCATCTTCTCAGCCAAAACTTCATCCCCATTTTTTTGTCTTTTTTTTTAGACTGTGCAAAACATAACACTTGAGTGCTACTGCTTGATGACAAATTTCCAACTCCATTTTTATTTTTTTTCTGAAGTGACATTGGATCACATGGGTTTTTGTGAGATCCTTGGTCCTCTGTGTCTGAAAAAAATTCAGTAAGAATGTCAAGTTTGTGGTCCTGCCTCTGGAATGAATAGTCTAGTGTGTGTGCGTGTGCTCTTAAGGTCAAAATATTTAAAAAATCTGTTAAAGCTGTCATTTAAAATCAGTTAACATTATAAAATCCTCTAGCATGAGCCCAGCCTTAGCTCTGTCGTCTGTGGCTAAACTTGTGTGCCAGAGCTGAAAACCAGAGAGGAAGATCTGTTTATCAAAGTCAGCTCTCAATACTTTTGAAACTTCTAATCCCTGTGGCTTGGAGTTTGGTTCCACTTGTGCATTTCTGTTTCTACTTTTACTCAGCGCCCCCCCCTTTTTGTTTTTTTTACTTTCATTATTCTTTAGTGTTATTCTTTTCTGCCCTCTCCATGGGCTTGTTTAAGATGAACTGCATCTCACCTGGACATCAAAGGAGAACAGACCATGGCAGCAGTGGGTGGTATCATGAAGCTACAGTCAAGGCGGACAGTTTAGGAGCTTTCTGTCAGCTACAGCAAGGGAGACGGAGGATTAGCTCCACCAAAAGAGACCCAAGCTCACCCAGCAGCAACAAAAAATTGTGTTTTGGTGCTCCAAAACACTCACTAATCATAATCAGTTTTGTAATTTCAATTTTAATTAGAAACCAAACAAAATACAAGTTAAAGCTAAAAACAATAACTAAATGTTTGACAAGCCCCTCGTCTTTTCCTTTCCCTTCTGATTCTCTTCCCAGTGTGCAGGCGTCACTGTTTTAAGGTTCATTTGCATGTTTAAAGAGCCCAAAGCATGCTCATTCCTAGCCATTTAATGTTTAATCTTGGGTACCTCTAGATTAGCTTTGCACCCATCATAACTCCAAATAGTCTGTAATTATTTCAGAATGATAAAACCAGAGAGCCTCTTCCTAAAAATGAGAGGATAGTTCATGAACATGCACAACTCCTGCTGCCGGTGTTGTTGTAAGTAAACAGCATGATGAGCCGTGATGGCATTATTTAATCTGAATTTCTCCTCCATAGATAGGTAAACATTGGTATATGTACAGATGAAAAGAGATGTGTAACACTAAACAAAGCAGGTAATTAGAACATACAGTATGTACATCTCATTTTTTCAGCTTTAGGTCACATCTAAGATGATAATTCACCGTTGTAACATTATAGATACATCAGAAAACAAGGAAAAGTACCATGGGCTCTTTAGAGTCTTTGCAGTACCTGCAGATTTCAGGGGAAAAAAGGGTGAGAATGGTCCCTTGCATGATATAGATACAGTAATATTACAAAAAGCTACCCTATATATCTGGTTTATTAATTCTTTAATTTGTGGGCTGTATTCTAAAGCTTTACCAAATAATCTTGTACACAGATTTCTTGAAAGGGGGATCACAATTTCAGTGAGTTTACCTATTTAAATTAATAAAGTACTTATTTAGCGCTACTCAAACATTACAAAAACATTTCCTATATCAGTATCTGTTGCCTCTCTACCTCACAGAGATGATGTGGATTTAATGGACGCGCCCTTCTATTTATTTTACTTGACACATCTGCTCAAATAGCTATGACCAACAAAGATCAGAGATTGTTTATTGACACAGAAAGCCATCTGCCCTGCCTGAGAGCGTTGTTACCTCTCCCAGCAGTATTTAGATGGGCCTCTGATATGGCAACAATAACAGTAAGGTGAATCCATTCACTTTGACCTGAATAACAGTACAATCACCACTGAGCTCCATGCTGCACCCCACTGAACCAGCAGGTGCAGAATAGGAGGGGAAAGTAACCACAGATTTACAACTAATCTAAAGTAGAGAATCTAGGTTAAGAGATATAAGAACAATAACTAAAAACATAGCCACTGTTAAGGATGTTCAGTTGCTGCACACCCGAGAAACACTAACACACTGATGTGAAGAAATATCAGCCAACCTTTATGATTAACTGACAAATGATTCTGACAGAGCGCTGCTCCCTTCAATTTGATGACTCCAACATCACAAAGAGAAGATACTCTGTAACTTTGTTTAAAAAGTACTCTACAGATAAATGAATTATTATTTTTTCATTACACACTGCACTTCATGGCTTATTTTGCTTCACACGTTTGATGTGAAACCAGCATCAGCAGGATCAGCAGCATAATTCACTCATCTGCTGTATGACAGCAAACAATACTGGGAAGTAGATAAATGAGCTGAGGAGAGACAGGAAGGATAAGTGAGTTAACTTTCTTCCGCACTGGTTGTTGGCTCACAGCGACCTGGCAGGAAGAGACACAGAAAGAAAAAGACAGAGTAAAATAGGCATCAACAGTGCCAGCTTCCCTTCACCATTTTCACAGGGGAAGTCTGCAGAGTCATCCTACATTTCTGCTACAATTTTGTAGCTCTCTCTCTCACATACACACATCCTTGTTTTCATAACCTACATAGACTTACATTCATTTCCAGGAGACTTACCTTAACCTTAACCAGAACTGTTACTTGCCTAACCTTAATACTTACCCTAATCTTAACCAAAGTTGACACTTGCTCTAACTTTACACCCAATCATTTTCACAAAATTTGAGAAATTACTCATGGGGCCCAGCCTCTGGTCCCAGCAAAGCAGTGTGCTTCCAGTGTTCTATCCCCACATGTATATATAAACAAGCCCACACACATGCACACACACACAAATGAGTATGCCACTGACCACAAATCACTTTTGAAATGATTTTTCACCTGGGAGAACCCTTCCCACCAGTATTAACACTGCCAGCGTTTCACTGGATGGGAGCATCCTTCTTCATCCATATTGTTTGGGAGCTGACATTTTACTTTAATATATTGTATCCTTTTCTGTCTTCAGCTGGCAGGGTTCCAGTCGCCAGTATGCTCTCACATAGTAACTGCTGAGTCAGCCAGTGGAAAAAGCTAACAGAAAACCAGAGAGAGACTAACCTCTCTCTGACAAATCTGTTTTCCCACAAAATCCTCTTCATCCATGCCACATCTCTGTTTTGACATAATATTTACTCAGCTTGGCAGTTTACTGGAACCAGTCCTTATACTTAGAAATCAAAAGTCAATAGTAACATCTCATCAACACTCTGTAGATTTAGAGAAATTTATGACTTGTCAGGAATCACATGCTGCCACTGTCCAGCATAGCCATAGTTATTCTGGGTCCATGTAATGTTTATCACTTCAATTTTCTATTTTGGAAATAGCAAGTAGAAAATAGAAACTTGAATACATTTATCTAAAATTGTATTTTTCAAGTGTCAGAACAGTGTAAAATTAAGAGTTAGGCCTGTTTTTTACTAAATTTTCTATCCACTTCATGGATAGAATGCAGTGCATCAACATCACTGTAGGATACTGGAGAAAGTCGTCAAGAATCTTTATTGTCATTATGCATAGCACAACAATATATTTTCCAGCAGCTCTTGGCTTAAATGACACATTATTTACATAACACACAATTGTATAAGTCAATAAAAAATTTTGAACAAATAAAAAGGGATGTATGGGACCTAATCAGGTCAGCAGCATGCTAGCAGCAAGAGTGTAGTAACATTATAGGGTGCAACTCAGTGCAAATCTCAGTCTTTAGGAGGAGGTGTGAGCATGGGTGTGTGTCTGCAGAGGTCCAGTGTTCTATCTGTGTCTGTCCATGGGGGGGAGGTTGTGTGTGTGTGTAACTAGGGGTTAGGGGAGTGATTGATTTCACAGCTCTGGGGAAGAAGCTCTGTCTCAGTCTGTTTGTTTTAGTCTTTATATTCTTGTACCTTTTCCTGGAGGGAAGAGGCACAAACAGACTGTTGCCTGGGTGGGTGGGGTCTGCAGTGTCCTGTGCAGTGCAGCTCCTGTACCACACTGTTGCACTGAGACAGAGGATGCTTTCTACTGTCGCTCTGTAGAAGTTTGTGAACAGCTGAGAGGAGAGACCAGCACGTTTCAGCTTCCTGAGGAAGAAGAGCCTTTGCTGGGCTTTCTTCACCAGGTAGGATGTGTTCAGAGACCAGGTCAGATCAGATGTGATGTGGATGCCCAGGAATTTGATGTTATCCACTTGCTCCACCACCTCCCCGTGTATGAGAAGAGGAGCATTTATTGTCTTCCTGGACCTCCTATAATCCACAATGACTTCCTTAGTCTTTTTTTTTATTACTTTATTTTTAAGTTATTTTTGATTTTATACATCAAAGAACACACACATAGAACCAACACAAAGAACAACTGGGACCTTCCGATACAAACGTATAAATTGTTTGTTATAAATGCTCACACACAGGAAGGTGAGTGAGCAAAAAAAAAAGAACGGTCCCAGAGGGCTGACTTCGGTGCAAGCAGATTTAATACGTGCTATACAGGTATACAGGTGCGGTGAGAACAATACAAGAATAGTGACGGTATAGTCTATAGAACCGGGGTTCGACCAGCACGGTGACAGTCACTATGGGGGTTAGGAGAAGGTGGGCCGAGCTGCGCAAGACAAGGGTCACTCACTGGCTGGCCAATGGGGGTGGAACAGGCTGAGGAGACAGAGTATGTATTGGATTCCTTCTTCTCCATAAGGTGCTTATAGAGAGTGGATATTATCTTATAGTGTATCTTTTAGAATTGTATATGCCAATTAAATTCTAATGATACCCTTATTAAAATCAACTTTGTGGTTTACTTCTTTATCATAGAAGTTTCTCAGTTGTAGGTATCGAAAGTGATCACAATTTGTTAAATCAAATTCATGTTTTAGTTCCTGAAAACTTTTAAAGTTACCATCCTTTATTAATAAACAAAGGGCTGTAATGCCATTGTTAATTCACTGTTTAAATCTAAAGTCATGTGCATTTGGAGTGAAACTGTTAGTATAGGCAGGCCAGTTAAGTAGGCAGAGGTCTTTTTCCAATTTGTGTTTCCGTACTACATAAAGCGACACTTCTAATGTCAATCTAGTCACAGTATTGACATGTTCTAATAAATTTCTGATTGTCTCCAACTCACCAATAATACTTGAGAGTTCCCTTCCCTGTACCAAACATTCAATATTTTTCCATTTTGCCTCATAGTTTTTATCACATAAATTTAATATGGAGCCTATTTGAGCTGAATGGTCCATCCATCCATCCATGTTCCTCCCCTTATCCGGAACCGGGTCACGGGGGCAGCAGTTTAAGCAAAGATGCCCAGACTTCCCTCTCTCCAGACACTTCCTCCAGCTTCTCCGGGGGAATGCTGAGGCGTTCCCAGGCCAGCCAAGAGACATAGTCCCTCCAGCGTGTCCTGGGTCTTCCCCGGGGCCTCCTCCCGGTGGGACATGCCCGGAACACCTCCCTAGGAAGACGCCCAGGAGGCATCCGAAACAGATGCCCGAGCCACCTCAGCTGGCTCCTCTCGATGTGGAGGAGCAGCGGTTGTACTCTGAGCTCCTCACCTTATCTCTAAGGGTGCGC